CATGGCCGCCCGCCGTGGAGCCCCCCTCCCAGCTCCTCCACGACGCCACGCTCTGCCAGAACCTGCGCCGCAGCCTCACCGCCATGACCACCGGCATGCTGCCGGAGTCGAAGGGTAGGTGACATCGTGGCCATCGTGGCCCCCATCGCTGCCCACTGTGTGCCACCATCTGCCATGGGCCACCACCCGCCAGGTGCCACCATCGTCCCTTTGATGTGGTCCTCCACAGCGTCCTCCTCTCTCGGTCAGATGGGGTTGATGGATGGACCGTGAGGTGGAGCAGGGATTGGGTGGATGGTGGCATCCAGGGGGTTGTGGTCAACAGCTCTATGACCGGATGGAGACCAGTGAGGAGCCATGTCCCTTGGGGGTCCATACTGGGACCAGTATTGTTCCATAGCTTCATCGGTGACATCTGCCACCATCATCCCTTGGACGTGGTTCTCCACAATGTCCTCCTCTCTCCATCAGATGGGGTTGATGGACAGACCGTGAGGTGGAGCAGGAGTTGGGTGAATGGTGGCATCCAGAGGGTTGTGGTCAATGGCTCCATGACCGGATGGAGACCAGTAAGGAGCCCTCAGGGGTCCATACTGGGACCAGTACTGTTCCATAGCTTCATCAACCGCACAGAGGTGGGATCGAGGGCACCCTTGGCAGATTTGGAGATGCCCCCAAGCTGAGTGGGGTGGTTGATATCCAAGAGGGAAGGGAACCACCCAGAGGGACCTGGACAGGTTGGAGAGGTGGGGGGACCTCCGGAGGTTCAAGCAGGCCAACTGCAAGGTCCTGCACCCAGGTGGGGACAATCCCAACCATGGACACGGGGTGGGGATGAAGGGATGGAGACCGGCAAAGGACTCAGTGGATGAAACGCTGGATGGCAGCCAGCAACGTGCGCTGGCAACCCGGAAAGGCAACTGTCCCCTGGGCTGCAGCAGAGGCGTGGCCAGCAGGGCGGGGGAGGCGATGGTCCCTTTCCACCCTGGTGGGGACCTGGAACGCTGCGTCCAGGAGTCCTTGGGCCGAGACGGATGTGGACCTTTTGGAGCAGGTCCAGAGGAGGCCACGAAGCTGATCCGAGGGCTGGAACACCTCCCCTGGGAGGAAGGGCTGGGACAGTTGGGGTTGGACAGCCTGGAGGAGAGGTGGCTCCAGGGAGGCCTCATCGTGGCCCTTCAGGCCTTGGGTGGGACAGAGTTTTTGCCAGGGCACGTAGCAACAGGATGGGGGTGGGTGGGAATGGTTCTAAGCTCAAAAATGGCAGTTTTGGATCGGATCTAAGGAAGAAATTCTTCACGCTGAGCATGGGGAGACACTGGAAGAGGTTGCGTGAAGAGGTTGCCCAAAGAGGTTGAGTGAAGAAGTTGCCCAAAGAGGTAGCCCAAAGAGGTTGAGTGAAGAGGTTGCCCAAAGAGGTAGCCCAAAGAAATTGCATGAAGAGGTTGGAGATGCCCCATCCCTGGAAATACTCAAGGTCAGTTTGGACTGGGCTCTGAGAGACCTGATCTACTTGAAGACGTTCCTGCTCGTGGCGCCGGTGACCTTCAAAGGTGCCTTCCAACCCAAACCATCCTTTGGTTGATTTTATCCCACCCATCCCTTTCTCCACCATCGCAGGTGTCCCGGTAGCCAACATCTTCCCATTGCAACCGCTGGCATTGGGTCAACCCAACACGCTGGTGTGCATGGTGGAGAACATCTTCCCGCCGGCGGTGGAGATCAGTTGGCAGCTGAACGAGATGCCCGTCACCGAAGGGGTCACCCAGACCCACTACACCCCCACAGCCGACCTGGCCTTCGTCCGCTTCTCCTACCTGCTGACGGAGCCCGCCGAGGGTGACCGCTACGCCTGCATCATCACCCGTGAAGGGGACAACTCCTCTGTCATCACCTACTGGGGTGAGCGCAGGAACGGGGACGGGGACATGGAGGGGACACCGGGGCTGGTGGTGATCCCGTCCCCTTGGTGTCCCCTCCCCAGTGCCCCAAACCCGCGCCCCCTCTGAGGTGCTGAGACGGCGCTGTGCGGC